AATTTTCAGGCTTTATTATTATAGTTTAGTGCTTTTGACATATAGAGCTATTGCCATCTAGTATTGGAACATAGCATTTCCCTTCAAAACTTCATTTGTTGAAATGGAATTGAATTTCGATGATTGTGTTCATATCTTTACCTGGATTAAATTACAATTGTGAAGGCTTTTGAATCGGTGGTTTCACTCAGTATGAATAATCAATCATAAACAATAAAAACAACGATTGACTTCTCGACAGCTGATCAGGCAGACTAAATCATAATGGACTTTGAAAGGTAGATCCAAGTTTTCCAATGAAATAATTACAGTTTAACAATTTACAAAAATTTATATTTTATTTGATTCTTACACTATATTTTTGTTAATTAAATTAAAAGCTTAACACTCATTTGATAGATTTTATATGAAACTCAATGAAAATGAATTTCAAATTGTGCGGTGATACTTTAACAAGAGGGAGCGCGAGTGTCACCCTGGTTACGTCTCGGAAACGGAAGATAACTTCAATTTTATAAGATTGTGTTTGGAAACATTAATGTGGTCTGGATAAATTTGGAAAACCTTAACGATAAGGAAATATTTCAATTTCATTGTTATTATTGAATCGTCTAGTGCTCCAATCCTAAAGTAATCAATTAATTTATAAAATGGCTGATCCTGCAAATGATGTCCATTCCGCTCTCCAACAAGTGTTGAAAACTTCATTGATTAATAATGGTCTTGCTAGAGGTTTACATGAAGCTGCTAAAGCATTAGATAAGTAAGTTGATCTTTATTATACATATACTCCGATACACTAGTATTATTTAACATCACATGGTTATTAACGTTCACGTTGTCTGTTTTTTTCATCAATCTAGGAGACAAGCTCATTTATGTGTTTTAGCTACAGATTGTGATGAACCAAGTTACATCAAATTGGTCGAAGCCTTGTGTAAGGAGCACCAAATTTCGTTGATCAAATTGGACGATAACAAGAAATTAGGAGAATGGGCCGGTTTATGTAAAATCGACAAGGATGGTAAAGCAAGGAAAGTCGTCGGCTGTAAATGTGTTGTGATTAAAGATTACGGAAAGGAAACGCCGGCACAAGATATTATTAATGAATATTTAAAAACAAGACAAGCTCTTTAAATTTATTAGATTAAAGATTCTTCATTTAATGAACACGTGTTTCCCAAACACCTATGTATTCAGAATCGAGGTTAAAATAAAGCCGTTCAATACAATTACTGATGAAGAAGATTTATTGTTATTTCGTAAGCCGAAAGTATTTATTTGTCAAGTGATACTAAAAAAAGCTAATTAGCAATGAGACGTTAAATAAACATTGTTTATTCAGCGCGCCCGCGTTTATTGAAATATGTAAGGTTTTGTTTACAGGGTAAACAAGATGCAGGAGTTTCGCCTACGGTAAGGGCATTTACAACACCATTTCTGGTGCCTGCATCAATACAACATTTATAAAGGTTTTTACATTTTTTCAGTATTTGTTTGAAGTTTAAAATTAAATGTTAGTTGGGTTAGTTTGATTTAGTTGGAAGTTAATGAAGATTTTTGTATTGTTCAAGTCAATGAGACGTTTACTTTAAATTCAGAGATTGCAATGTTTCGAGGTCTTTTTTGAGATGAAGACGCAAGGTGATGTCAGGTTGATAACCTCAAGAACGTCTTATTGACTATGGCTCTTCCTGACACTTGCACCGGTCTCCATTTTTTGGTGTTAATTTAAAATAACTGTTTCTATTTAAAATTTGCCTCTATCCAGATCGTTTTTACGAGTAAAAAACGTCTTTTTTTCTAGTAACTCTAGACTTTTATCTTCATTAACTTTTCGTTATCAATGTTATTTTGTTTTTGATGTGCTTTTTAGGTTGTTGGCTCCTTTTCCTTGTTTTTGATTAGCTTCATGAACCAGTCATGAAACTTGGGACAGTTTCTCTCGTCTCTTCTTCCACGGGTTCTCGCCAATTACATAATATTTTGATTGATTTCTTTTGGAAAACAGCCTCCGTAGCGCAGTGGATAGCGTGTTGGACTTCTAATCCAAAGGTCCGGGGTTCGAATCCCCGCGGAGGTGAAATCTTTTGTCAATTCCAATGGATTAGACTCGATTAACTTTTCTTTTTTATGCTTGACTTTATGTACAGTATTTACAAATGGTGTTTACTTGACTCCAATCACATCTCTTCCTTATTGTAAGGCATCTATCCACCGGCTACTGATTGTGTTGCTGTTTTGCTTGTAAGTTTACTGTCCACTTGATCAACCAATAGGTCATATGAAACTCTTTTTGTCAATTCCAATGGATTAGACTTCGATTAACTTTTCTTTTCATGCTTGATTTCATGGACAGTATTTACAAATGGTGTTAACTCGATTCCAATCACTTCTCTTCCTTATTGTAAGGTATGTATTTACCAGCTACAGATTGTGTTGTTGGTTTCTTGTAAGTTTTCTGTTCACTTGATCAGTCAATGAATTAAATGACTGATTATTTTCATTATTCAGAGATCTGTTAGTGGAATTAACTCGCTTGGAATAGCTTGTTCACACTACTTGTCATTAAATTTTTTCATTATCAAATTCATTACATTCCAGATGTACGTTTCCAGTGGCTTGGCTTCTCTTCCTTGCTTTTTGATTAACTGTTTGATGTCTTCTTTTGACAGTAAATGTTTACCAAAATGTCTCAACCTGGTTTCCTCTGTAATTGGACACGACAATATCCAATGGCTCGGTGTTTTGAGTTCATTTTTGCACCAACATTCTTCTTTATCACCAT